GCATGATGAAGAAAGTTTTTAAAGTTGAGAAATAAATTGACCTATAATTAAGCTTAAGATCTTTAATGACATTTTGTGTATAGTTGAGGGATAAAAATGACCTATCTGAGAATATTTGGATATGTTTCCATAAAGCCATATAGTTTTACTTGATTTTCAATTTTGATTAAAATTAATCTCATTAATACATTTTATAAATCAATTATATATTATGTAATATAATCAATTATATTCAAAATCAATCACATTAATTAATTTTTTTTAATCATTTTTTTCTCATGAATATCTAAACCAGCCCACTGTATATATATCTTCCACACATGCATGTGGTTTTTAGCATTGGATCCATGAGAAAAGGCATCATTTAATTTACCCGTGGACGATAAAAAAGCCAGCATAATTAAATATGGATTAATGATCAAAAGTTAACTGCGCAGCACATCTATCTTCTATCGTCGAAATGTATAATCTATAGGTAATGCAAGGTGTGCTACAAGGAAAAGTTAAAAAATATATATATACAACTTTATCAAAATTTATATTTTAAAAAATTATATCTTTTTATGATAATTTAAATATTTAGAATTGGTTTTGATTAAATTATGTAAACATGTTCAGTTTTATCAAAATCAATTTTAGAAAATAGCATCCAAATATAATTAAGTTATAACATAATTAATTATAGATTAAATTATGTAAACATGTTCAGTTTTATCAAAATCAATTTTAGAAAATAGCATCCAAATATAATTAAGTTATAACATAATTAATTATAATAAAAATTAATTATATTAATTAATTTTGTATAATCAATTTTACCTAATTAAAATCTAAACATGTTCGAATACTTTTTGTTCGTGGTGATGTTAGCCCCATCGCAAACTATGTTTGCAATAAAGATAAGCATAATTGATTTAAAACTAAAAAAAAAAAAAAGCCAAAATAGATTGAAGAAAGAATGATAGATAGGCCATAAGGAAATCAATTTAATCAAATTATGTCCTAACTAATTTCAAAGTGCCAAACTTAATGGATTTGTAAGTTTGGCTTTCAATTTTGTAACTTCTTAATGATAAATTTATAATTTATTTTTCAAATTTTAGCATGATTGAAAAATGAATAAATTTATTTTTTTATTAAAATTTTGAACATAAGTTGTAAATTTAGCACAATAAAGTTACAAAATTAAAAGTTAAACTTGTAAATTTCTAAAATTTAGCACCTTAAAATTTGTTGGAATCTAATTTAAAGTAATTGCCCTAGACTGAATTTAGTTTATTAATTTATTTCGTCTTGGTTTTAATTCGATTCATTTGTTTATGATAATTTGGTTAAATTTCTTATATACAAAATCTAAATAAATTGAACCTGATATATACACTTTATACTTTAGTATTTTAAATTTAAAATTTAAATGCATAATATGTAAAAATGATTTTAATTTAATATGTTTTTTTCAATATGGAAATAGCTATTTTTAAAAACAAGTATGTATTTCACTCAAAAAAATTTTTCACCAATGAGAATTAACAAAATTACAATTACAATCTTACATTTTATAAATTTTAACACTAGGGTCCATGGAATTACAGTACTTTTGGACCAAACTTTTTAATTTTTAAATCTAACATTATTAAATTAGTTATTTTATAAATTAAAATGGCAGGTAACATTACATTTAAAAATTATTCTTTAAAAAAATTGTTAAAGGGTAAAAGAGTAAATTGACATTTGAATTATATATCTAGGAGCATCAATGACTATAAATTTATTTTTTGTGCAATTTTTTTTAATTTTTGAAAATAGTCACGCTTGGATTTAGACTTTCCTAAAGAGGGAATATTGGTTATTGGAGGGAAATAGGAGTTACTGTCAAAATTTTTAAGAAACCTTAAAAAAATGTAAAATGAAAAATGATTGTTTGCGAAATGGGTTCGAAAGTCAATTGTGTGGAGAAGGTGTTAGGCACTCAATAACACTCTTTCATAAGAGCAATTACTTTAAGTTGATTGTGTAAAGTTAATTGACTTTTTTAATAATATCTTCATTACCTTTTTATAATCACATGTGAAAAAACAATAAAAAATACATATAAATTAATAAAAATAAATTATTTATTTACATGGAAGGATTTGATATGGGATTAAAGCCTAGAGCCTACATTTCCTATAATGATGATCAAAGTCCACTTAATTTAGGGTTATTATTTGAGTTTTTATTCTTTTAATTAATTTATTTTATGAAAAGAATGTTATCTTGGGTTATTTTTTTATTTATTTTTCAAATAAAAATTGTTTTAAGGAAATACCTTTGCATAAGAGAAAAATAACCAATATTAAAACATGTCATGATTGAATATCACTCATAATCTACTGATTGATGCTCTAAGCATGCACGGTAATTTAATATCACTCATGGTAATCCCTAAATGAATTTTCAAAGTGAATAGTTTAGTTATGAAATTATAATACAAAATTTGATACCTACAATGACTTAATGTCATTCATGGTATCTCATCTAATATTTCTAGAGATTTATAGTAATTTAGAATCATTCATGACGTAACCCAAATATGCCAAAAGTTTTATTATTTTCAAGAAAAATTTCTTTATTTGCAACCGTGGTAATTTAGTATTGCTTATATTATGTATCAAATATCCACAGTGATTTAAAATCACTTATATATCTTTTTTTTAAAGGCTTAGAATGAATGTATATCATTGAGATTTCTACTTTATTTTTAAGAAAACAAAAGTAAATGATTCATTAGTATAAAATAAGGATTAACATAAGTACATTTCCAATAAACTCATTCTACCATATAATAATTTGCCACCAAATAACCACCTTGAAGACCCATTTACCATTTGTCTTTTTAGGACAAGACAAACACACAAGAATCAATCATACAAACTAAAAGTAACAAATGAATAGATGATGATACTCAGGAGAACAAAACAAACCAAGAGCATATTATGTCAATAGAAAGGATAAATGAATGCATAGGTAAGGAATATGACGATCAAATATACAAAGTAAGACACAAAGGCAAGAGCACATCGTGCAAACTAGAGTATGTGAGGATCAAGTCAACTTCCTAAACATTAGAATGATAATGAGCCCTCCGGTGTATAACCGAGCCTTTCAAAACTTCGCCAACATTACTTGCCTCCTCTCAAAAATCTCTATCCACTTGTCCAATTTTTCTACCCCCTGTAGCCTCTTCTCTTCTTTTTAACAGGCTAAATTAGGGTTATCTTTCATTAATAGCCTCATCAAGACAAAATTCCCTCAAATCATAATACTATTAATTATTATTTGACTTTTCAAATTAAATCAGATTTTTAATTTTTCCTTTAATTAAACCAAATTCCAATCAAGCCATAATCACCTCAAATTAAAATATGATTAATTTGACTTTTCAAATTTTTTAATTTTTCCTCGATTAAGTCAAATTTGATGAGAACATGATTAAGGAGATTTGGAGTCAATAAAAAAAAGGAAAGATTATTATTTTTTTTAAAGTCACAAAAGCCCTTTTTGTTCCTTTTTTATTTATTTAATTTTATTAAGCTTTTTTTTATTTATTTTCAATTTACATTTGAAAGCCCAGACAAAATATGATATTCACAACAATACAACCTGACCTCTCATGTTAATAAAAGTTCACTTTAATTCTTAGTTGACTAGAAAATGATAAAAAATTATGAAAAAGGACAAAAAATGTAAAGTTAAATACCAACAATTACATACAAGAACAAAAAAATTACAAAAAAGTATCAATAAAATTTTATTAGTCTTTTTTTATAATTTTTGAAGTCTTTTTTTATTTTATGTTTAACTAATAGTTAAAGCTAACTTTTGCTAATAGTATGAGTTAAATTGTACCGCTTTTAAAGATTAAAAAAGAACATTACATTAAAAATGAGTTTAGAATTCCAGATGTGCTAAATTTATAGTATAAGACTAATATACTCTTTTACCCTTTGTTAAAATATAATTAAGGTTATAAATTTTAAAACAAAATAAGCTTGAGACAATACATTTTGGAGTCATTTATGTTATAATTTTTAATATGTACATAGATAATAAAATTTAGAATTAGAATATAGAATAAAATATGCTATCAAGTTTTTAAAAAGAAAATATTTTGCACATTTTAAATACTATTACTCTTGTTTTTAAAATTATCAAATTATTTTTTACTAAATATTTTACTTTTATTAGTTTTGACAGTCTATTTGATTCAAGGGAAATGAAAGAGAGGCAAGAAATTTTAATGACTTTAGTTTTTTAAAAAAATATAAAAGTGAGGTTAAGAGTTTGCAGTTGATTTGTCTTTTTTTTTTTCATTTTTCATTTTCTCTCTATTAAAATTTTATAATTCTAATTGTCTATTTTAAAAAAATTTAACTAATTATAATCATATCCTATTTCATTCCTCTCAAATTAAAAAGAGGATTAAAAGTTTAAAATAGTAAATAAATAAATTTTATAACTATTAAATTTAAAAAATAATAAAAATTTAAAAGAATATCTCATTTAAATATTTTGGGTAACATAAATAATTTTTAAATAATACTTATATTTAAAAAATTTATTTTGATCCAATATACATGATTTAATTGTCAATTAATGATTATGTGGATGAAAATTAAAACTTAAAAATAAGAGTAACTTTTATATTTGTAGTTACTAATTTTAAAAGAAGTTTATGTAGATCTTAGAAATAAAAAAATACCTGCAATTAAAATAAAATAAAATAAAGATAACTTCTTTTATTTTAAATTATAAGTACTATAAAATCATTTTTAAATTTTTATAATTATTTTTATTTTTATCTTTTTATATATTAAAACATTTTCGTGCACCGGGATTAAATCTAGTGATTAATGATTAACTAATTATTAATACTAATTTAATACTAATTGTAAAGCTAGTTTTGGGATTTTCTGGCCAAAATAAAAAGCAAGTTTGGGATCAATAAATAGAGGTGCTGGCCGAGGAGCCTTCGCAACGCAGACCTTCGAAAAATTCCAAGGCCTTTTGCATACTCGAACACCGAGGGGGACGCTGGACATCCAACCACGGGCGACCCGACCTTCAGATCCCATCAAAGCAGTTGACAGTCATCTGTCCAAGTATTCCCGCAAGCATTACGCCATCGGCGCGCTACTCTACCGGAATTTTTCTGTCGCACGATTTTAGCGTCACCTAGGGCTTGATATTCTCACAAACTCTGGTAAGATTACTTTCTTGTTATTGTAGACTTGGCTTATATGTTGTTTTGGGCGACAATTTTTAACACTTTTGAGTCAAGTTAATAGGTTGTTTATTCCTAATCTTTACAAAACCCTCTAGTTAGTCTTCGCAGCTTGCAATCATTGAACTGACTGTAATATGTATTTCAATCTGCACTATTTTCTATTTAGAGACTTCTTAGTTCTAGAGTAAGTTCAGAAAAAATGTATTGATCAGGAGAAGCATTTGTGGTTGCTGAAGAAACTTATGATTAATGTACAATTGACTTTGCAATAGCTGTAGGTCCTGGTTCTTGTTCTGTTTTTATATAAAACTCTTGTAAAAACTGTGGTAGGACCCATCGACCAACCTTGCTTTATCACCCAAACCTATTTCTCTTCCTTGGAATAAATTATCTCCTTTTATGGCCTCACAGAATTCCCTTACCTACTGTCGTGTAATGTAATTATGCTTTGAGTTCTTCCCTCTCTATTTCTTACTCGTTCCGCATTCCTTAATTCTCCTTACGTGCAGATCTCTATAATCAAACCCTACTTTTCTTGCTCACTGTTAACACGTGAAGGTCTGATATCTATCATATTTCTGTCGATAATCTTTCCACAGCTTAAATCTGATCTTTGTAATTATGTTGTAATCATTTATGTATATTTCTGTTAGCCTTTGCCTCATTTCTTTTGTTTTTCGTTTTATAGTTGATACTTGATTATTTGGAAATTTGCTCTAGTATTCTGCAGCTATATATGCTTCGAAATCCGCTCATAATTTTCACTATTAGGAAGCATGGAAAGTTAGGGTTATTTGCCATGGATTGATTTTTTTTGTTTTGTTTTGTTTTGTGATACAACTTTTTTGGGGCAAAATTTTCTTTTAGATGAAATTATTTATACTAATTAGTCTGAAATATTGTGGTTTGTAGATTGCCATCCTTGTCTGTGGCCTGCAGCTTGAAGCATACACAATATTTTGAGGAATGGCTGATCAAGGATTGGAAGGCAGCCAACCAGTAGATCTTAAAAAGCACCCTTCTGGGATTGTGCCTACCCTTCAGTGAGTAACTATCTCTTTTTAGAAAATATATAAATATTACCTAGTTTACACTTTAATATGCTGCTTGGTGGATTGCATGAGATGTGTGTACATTTTTCTTCGAAGAATAATATTATTCTTTTTTTTATACAATGAATAACATTATTTTTGAGTATATTAATTATTTTTAATAACAAAAGAAAAAATGGTTTTGGTCATTGTTGTTCAAGGATTGCTCCATGCTGGTGGTTTCTTATGATTCAGATGTGTTGTCACTGGTATTGAGAATTCAACTTGAAAGCAATTGCTGAAGCATCTCAGTCAGTGTATTCTTGTTACATGTCATGTTTGACAAGTGTTATTTTTGACAATGTTGGATTATGTGTTTTTAGCTTCCCATAATTTTAATTTTAATACTCATTTGAGGTTTAGTGACATGTAAACTTGAAAGGGTCAGTGGAAGTGTATGTTGTCAAAATGTGAAATCATATACATAAACACTCGAGAATTTTGGTGTAGCGGTGCACTTTACAAAGATACACTTTCCTGATCAGTGGAAAAAGGTCATTCTAGGGGCTAGAGTTGCCTCTGTTGTTTCTATACTTAAAAAAGGTAGACATATCCTTATCAGGTACGTGTAAATCAGATCAGATTGTACGGGTACCTATTGTACTTTATGATGCACACAGCATATTCTAATATCTTATCTTCTTTTTTTTTCCTGTAATTTTTTTTGGGGGTTTCTGAGATGATCCAAAACAGCTCAACAGCTTATAGAAAACTCATTTCATTGGTTGCTTGTCATGAATATCTTTTGATTAATTGTGAAACACTCGTTTAAAACTCAATTTTTATTCACTTTTAATTGGTTAATCTGTTGAATATATACATAATTATATGTGTACTTTTATGTGTATTCTAAAATCTTAAAATTTACGTTCGAATATCATGCTGTGTTGTTCCCATGCACATACCCAGCACAAAATACCTCAATTTAGTAATAGATAAATGCATTTGCATAATTGCTACCAGATATTTTTTGTGGTAAACTGTCCTATAATTATTCTTTTGCCAGTTTTATTGGCTGATGCTGGTTGCCTTTGTTTGACATTAAGTAACTCCTACTGTTATTAATTTCACCCCAAAGAATTGCTATTATCTTGTGGATGTGAACTAGTTTTTCACTATGGTCTGTTCTGTCAGCACTGTGGCATGTGCCATATGCATCTTGTTTGTGAGATCGTAGCTGCAGAAATGTGGCATCAACCGTCCATGGATTGGCTAGCTGCATATTTGTATAGTTACACAAAGAGCTTAATTGAGGCTCATCTTGATCGAAATGCTGAGTCATGAATATTTAACCTCAGTTCTTTTAATATGTTATATTTTTTTCTTCTAATTTCATTCTTGACCCTTGATAAGCATTGATTCCTTTCCTGTCTCTCTTTCTTTCCGCTATGCTGTAATTGTGGGATTTAACCCCAACCCCAACAACACACAAAGGGCCATTTTGGTTTAATTTCAGAACCTCCGGGAATGGAAATATTGATTTAATTCCCATCGTGTGTGAGTGTTTGGTTAACCTTATAAATCGGAAATGCCTCTCGTAGGAATCATGTTTGCTTTAATTTTGGCGATCAAGATCGATTGCAGGGACATGATAATGTTGATTCCCATGTTCAGATTGATTTTGAAAAGTCTAATTTATCCTCAATGATCAAAATGCCCACAATCATTTTCCTGGTCCTCTCTTACTTCATCCACTTCACCAGATTTGCACCATCTTCTTTGGTGCTGACAGAGCCTCCTTCCCTGTTGCCAAACTCCGTTCCATCTGCTTGTGGTTCACCCCTTCTGGTTTCTGATTTTATTCCATGCCTGTCAATTCCTCTTTTTGTTCCTCTAGTTGCTCTTCCTCCATTGTCTAGATGCATGTTTGGTTAGATTTACCAATCATGTTCCCATCAATATCATAAATCAATTTTCATTCAGATTTTATTCATATATTTGTGTTTGTGGGAGCTGTTGGAATCAATTGGTTGCTTTGTAGTTGACATCCGCATCTGTTATTGATTTTGATTAAATTTTTTTTCCTCGGGAGGTGTTGACCTTGGTTCAATTTTCAAGGTGAATTTTAATTTGCATTTGGATGTTTTTGAATTTTTGTGCTTCTGCAACTACTCTTTAATGCTTGTCAGATCTTGATCAGTGGAGGTGGAGAAGAGTTGGAGGAGGTGGGTGACTGGAAGAAGGGAGGAGGAGGAGGATAGAAAAAAATCTTTTTGGGTATTTAGAGCCATTACATTAAAATATTTATTTAATTGAATATAAAAAATAAATTTGTGTGAAGGAATCCAAATGTCACACCAAACATATACATAGTGATGAACATTCCATTCCTTACCTTTCTTTTTCTTTCCCTCGGTCTCTAGGAATTGTGCCAAATGGGCCCTAAGTATTTTCCACGGCCCCCCTCTCTCACAAGCACTTTTGGTCTTTTGGATATTTCTGCCATTGCCTTTCATATCCAGCATGAAATATTTGTCTTCTGTCGTGACATTCTGTATTACTGAAATTTTCTTCACATGTTTACTCCTAATTTGCTTAAACTTCCCAATTTGTTACTAAATATTATTCTTTCTCCTTCATGTGGATATCAACTTCATTTTCGCTAAGTAATCCTTATCCCCTGCCACCAAAATAAAGCGATCCTTTTATCCATATGTGGTACATCACATGATACTTAATTATAGTACCTTCAGCTTCTTGAATGTAAATAATGTTGCTGAATGCATAAGTCGATCAAATTTCAGAGCTTCCCAATTAAGCAATTTTAAGCATTGAATTGGATTTATATCCATTCCTGGCTCTTTTTTAGATGGACTCATAACATTGCTAAGAGTTTTTGTGTGAAAATTCTGTATTTCAGTTATAAGAGAAGTTTTGCTTCTACTTTCACTGGAAAATCTCAACAATGCCTACACTTCTTTCTCCCAGGAATATTGTTTCAACAGTCAATTTGGACTGTAAGTTGGACCTTAAAGCAATTGCACTTCAGGCTAGAAATGCAGAGTACAATCCCAAAGTAAGTACTGTTTTTTTTCCCCCTTTTTTGGGGAAATTTGAGCTGCGCAAGCAATGCTCTTCTTTTTTAGATGCTCATTATGTCCCATAAATTGCAGTGATTTTATATGGCCCAAGAAACTTGTTTTATCAAAGTTCTTCCATTAAAATCACCATCAATATCAATTAGTTGTTGATATGTTTTTGGACTGAAATAGTATATTTGGTAACTTAGTCTATTGTTTATAAGATATCTTTATTGATCATGTTATTGTGATGCGATCTTTTGCAGCGTTTTGCTGCTGTGATTATGAGGATCAGGGAGCCTAAAACGACTGCACTCATCTTCGCGTCTGGCAAGATGGTATTGTTCATTCTAGAATTTGGTTCCATTTGTGTCATTATAGGATCGTTTTAATGTTGTTTTTAACATCTTATTTACATAATAATTGTAGTTCAATTTTAGTTATTGTTTTGTACTGGCCTTGAATTCATATCCTTTAAATTAGTACATGAATATCAGAGGATGGGATGTGGGCCGCTAGTTTGCATTTTTATTTTGATGCTTGTAATATTCTTGTAGAGGTCCCATACATTTCACCCTTTCTGATTGTAGCTGAGTGTACTCATTACTTATGCAATGTAAATTTAAATGGTACGATTAGGTTTGTACGGGAGCTAAGAGTGAGCAACAGTCTAAATTGGCAGCACGGAAGGTATGCATTGTTCTTCGATGTTCTCATTTATCATGTATAAATTATTGATGTTTTCCAAGTGGAAGTCCCATTAGATTGAGAAGCATTGCCATTTGTGATAGCTTGTTTTAACATTTGAGCTTAATTGCGCTATATTTGTATTAGTAAAAGTACCTTAATGTATTTAAGGAGAGGATGAAATGGTTGAATGTTCTGATCACTTGTTTACAAGCACGAAGCAAACTTTCTTCTCAATTGGGATTTGGGCATCATGTTGCTGTTTTTTTTTTTGGGCATCATGTTACCTTTCAATTGGAAGTACTTTCTAAGTTGTCTTTCCCCCCTTCAGTATGCTCGAATTATCCAAAAACTTGGTTTCCCGGCTAAATTCAAGGTATCATTTAAACTTCTCTCTATTATCTTCATTGAACTAGTTTTCTGTCAAATTGTCTTTCTATACAAGGTGGTAATTGAATTTTGTTGGATTGTGCTTTAGGATTTTAAGATTCAGAACATTGTTGGTTCTTGTGATGTCAAGTTCCCAATACGGCTCGAGGGTCTTGCATATTCTCATGGTGCTTTCTCTAGTGTAAGTCCAGAAAAGAACTTTTTATTGTCTTCTTTCCTTGGTGATTAGTTGGTGATTTTGTCGTGTGTAGGTGTTAATCCATTAATTGGTGAAATAATATAATTCTTATTTATGGGCCTATATGGGATTATATGGAATTGTCTTGAAAGGATTATGTTGTCAGAACACCAAGTTGCAATTTTGGAAGATGGGATTTGACTCATGCAAATGGTAAAAACAATTTTGGTTTCCATTGCAGCATAAATAATCTGCAACCATTTCCCACCCCCTCCCCAATAATATGAATAAATGCTGCTTTGGCCTCAATAAGTGCTTTCTGAAATCTACTTTGTTGGTAATGTTTATGAATGAGCATTTTCAAAATTATATGTTTTAGTCTTGTAAAGGGTGTGCATGGATTAAAATGGTCATCTTCAGTTCTGTCTTTCCATGTCTCCTGTAATCCACTAGGAAGTTAAGGGTGCAATGGATAATTGTTAAACTTCCTTTTTCCCTGGTGTTTAGTATGAACCAGAGCTGTTTCCAGGACTAATTTATCGGATGAAGCAACCAAAGATAGTCCTGCTTATATTCGTCTCTGGAAAAATTGTTCTAACGGGAGCAAAGGTAACATATTCAAGGTATTCTCTTATTGTTTTATATTTTCCGTCTTGTTCTTTGTGGAATTGATTGTTTCATTTCCATCAGGTGAGGGATGAAACTTACACAGCCTTTGAGAACATTTATCCTGTGCTCACTGAGTACAGGAAAAACCAGCAATGGTATGGACATGGCTTTATTCACTTTCTATATGGCGATCAGGGAACACGTTGTTATAATTATGAGTACTATTACAGTCGAGTTCTCTTATAATCTATATTTATTATCTACAAGTCTAGGTGAATTGGGTCCCGACATTGCTTTTTGCTATTTATTTCACTAGAAATTGGGGCAAAAGAAGAGGGAGCGAGGGGTTGAGTTGCTAAGAATGTTGCTGAGCTCTGATATTTTTATTTGGGATGTTTGCTGTTTGCTATTCATGGCAGATTACTGTCAGGAACAGCAATGAGATGAATTGTGGCCGTGCAAAAGTCCTGACAAATTTATTTGAATGGGTGGTGGAACTTGGTTGAGCTGTAAATACTTAAAGAAGATCACTGAGTGGGTGGTACACGCCATTTGTCTTGTTCTGTCAGTTTCTCGATGGGTTTTGATGTAGAGAAGTGAGAAGCATATCGACTAATGGCACATTAGAGAAGAAAAATGATTTGGATGAGGCAGGCAAAGATTGTAGCATAACATGCTTAAAGGAGCACAACTTTTGTTCCTTTGAACATTTATCGGGTCTTGTGCTGTTCATGTTTTGGTGGGGGCATTTAAATGCATATTCTTAGGTGTTTAGTAAAATTCAAATATGATGTTCATAAACCTTGGCCACTTCACTTGATGTGGTTACGTAATTGTGTAATCAACATATTTAACCTGATCAATTGCCGACTGGTTGAAATGACTGCTGGCAACTGGCTAGAACTAGCGGACAAAGTGACTGATTATTAATTTGTTTATGATTAGTGTTTGAACGCTTTTACGTACCTGCCTAAAAATGTTTTGCCACGACGTTTACCTATTTTTAATGTCGTCTTTAATGGCGTATTTGTTACAAACTTGCATTTGTGTAATTTTTCTGATAGTTTATTAAATTCCCTCTCCCCGAAATCCTTTCCCATTCCTGTTCAACTTCTCGGAACCCCGCCCCAACACACCCCACCGCCCCCCTCCGAAAATTGAAAAAAAGAAAGAAAAAGGACCACAGTAAAACAATATAAGAACAGGGGCAAGAATGGGAGAATTTGCATGTCTTACATTATACAAATAGTTAATTAATATTAAACAATGGTGCCAAAAATCTCTTATGACACTGTTCTTTAAGAAAGGATTATAGGTTTTACATGGGATAATGAGTAAAAAAATACTTGTAAAGTGTTACCACATCGAGATGGGGACATAATTTTGGTGCGATTTTGTTTATCAACCTTGAAAAGTAATGCAAAAAAAAAACGTTTTAATTTATAAATCTGAGCAACAATATTTTATTTTAGAGTAAATTGACCCAACAATTGTGAAAAATATATTAATAATAAGTTATGGAAGAAGTTTTTAAAAATTATGAAATATAACCTATTTACAATCAATTGGAGTGCAATTTTTCCTTTTTATCCCAAATCAAATAATAATAAAAAAAACTTGTGTAACAGAATACCAAAAATTCAAAACTCCTTAACTAAATAATTACAATTGTGGTTCATTTACAATTATATATCGCTTCAATATTTAAACATTTTTAAATATTTTATTATCAACTTATTAGGTATAATATAGTTCAAATTCAAGAATGAGGATGAGATTTAAGATTAGAGGAGGAGTTTTTTTATCATTTCAATTGAATTTAAATATTAATCCGATCACATTATAAAATATTAAAAATGTTGTGTTGTTATCTTTGGTTCTATTAAATAGTCTATATATACAAAAGTCCCTTTATTTTATCATGTTTCATAATTACATGAATAGTTAATCACATCCCAAGTTAGGAATATTAGCCATATTTTATTTTATTACATTTCACAGTCGCGCTCAATTTAAAATCCATATGAATCCAGAAAGGTAAGTCTACAAGTAAAGAGCTCTTAGGTTTGTTCTTGGTTCTCTCACTTGGGTTGCACGCTGAGAGTTTCATAGAGATCGATAGCAATGGCCTCTGGAAACAACCTCCGGATCGCCTCACCGACAGGCTTGCATGTGAAGGAGGTAAGCTGAATAAGAAAAAAAAAGGTAGCTCCTCTTCTGAGACTGAAGCCAAAGCTGACAGTGTTATGTCAAAAGCCTCTGTTTCTTCGGAGGAATTTCCTGCCTTAGCCAGGAAGCAAGGCACCAAGGGTTGTATTGCAAAACACAATAATGAATCTGATTCCACAACAAAGCCCAGCTTTTCCTATAAAGCTTCTCTCTTAGGCTTCAATGGTGTCGCCAATGATGCTAAGCCTCCTGTGGAAGATGACATATTGCTTGGAGATTCCTAAAAAACGTGGGCAGTACCAAAACCTACGGAAGAGATCAAGAAATTAGCTGAGATCTATCCTTTTATTCCCTTCTCAAATGAGGAATTTCAAGAGTGGTGCCTTCCTTGGAATGATGATATTGTTCTCACGGTATTAAGTAAGATGATACCCAAAAACCTTAAGGGTTGCCTGACTTGCATCTGGGGATTCTTGGCCTTCAATCTAGCTGACCTTCCTAACAATTATTTCGTGGTTTGTTTCACTGATAAAGATTCTAGGAAGGAGCATTGTAAAAAAACTTTGCTCGAAAGCCCTTGGTTGTTTGCAGGTTACTGTGTTGCTATTCAAAAATGGACTCCCTACTTTGATCCGATGAATAATCCTTTAAGAAGGATGATTGTGTGGGTAAGAATCCCTAAAATCCCCATGCATGACTACAACCAACTTTTTCTTATGAAGCTTGGGGAGATGATTGGCAAACCTATTAAGGTCGATATGAATACTGTCTCGGAGATTGCTCAGGTTGATAAAGAAAATGATCGTGGCAGATTAGCCAGAGTATGCTTCGAAATTGACCTCCAGAAAAAGCTTGTACCTCATGTTATTTTTGGTAATATGATACTTAATATTGAATATGAAGTTATTGGCCTTATTTGTTTCTTTTGCGGTAGATATGGCACCAGGAAGGAAGTTTGCCCATGGAAGAATGCTTTATTGCATGATGATAACCATAAACATATGGAAGGTCATGATGAACTTGTTCCTCAACATAGAACGACGGTGCTTGCTTCGGCGTCCGGAGATGCGTTCGGAATTTGAATGCTTGGCCCTAACATGTAAAAACCTCAGTTCTAGAGATGTCCCAAAAATCGTCCAGCTCAGAGCGAGTAGGGAAGCAATTCTAAGTCAATGCGAAAAGTGGATGTCTAGAGCTTGTGTCGCATTATGCGGCTTTAGCAAACATAGAATTCTAAGTCAACGTGTCATGTGGTGTGCGTTTAGACTTCTTGGAATAGTTTAAGTGTGAAAAAGGAGTGAGTTTAGTTTTAGGTGGCTAACATTTTTATGTGTCATTGATTTAAAATGCAACTAGTGCCATTAGCTAGCTTATTATCTAAGCTTTCTATGAACACTTAGGTCAATCATAATAAAACATTGGACAAAAGTTTGGGGAGTGTCAAGAGTTTACTCTTGGTACTATGGTTTGATAGCATTGATGCTGCCATTATTCTGCAGTTCACCACGACAGATGGTGACTTTGCTGCATCACGTGATGTGTCATTGGCTGTGGTAGATATCCTCGAACTTGTTAGGTTCGATGAATAGGCTTTTTGGCCATGGCTAACAAGTCTGTTTTGGGAAAATAATGTTCAAAGATTTTTAATAGTTTGGTGATATTTCATGCTTCCAAAAACTTTGCAAACTCTAATTTGAATAATTTAGGTTTGGTCATGTTGATAGTGATACTAAAATTGAGATCCCAAAGATTTTTATGCGTTGAATTTCATTATAAGGTTTCCCATTCTTTTTGTAAACTCATAGCTTTCCAAGTTGAGTTGGTACTTGTTTATACTATTGTGTATTTTTTTAAAAAAATTATAAGTTTGGTTTTAATGACCATAGTAGGCCTTTCAACTTGTGTCCTTTCTTCTTTATTGTGATTATTTTTTTTAAACTATGAATGATTATTATTTACCATGGTATAATGACTAGGATAGTTAATTCCTAATTATTATGGTAAGGGGTGGCTTTAAGATTAAGTCTTGTGAAATTAGGTGAGTTTTACATGATCCAAGTATCAACATGCATGTAATTAAGTAATCTAGCTATAAACACCATGGACATCTCAATCCAATATTAAATAAGGATCTTGGAACATTATGCATAGTATTAAGTCTTTAGACTCTTTACACAAACACAAATGTTTCCCCTCATATATGTATATGTATATATATACACCCAAGACTTGCAAATTCATTCATGCATCAATACTTAAATCATGCCATTAATCCAAGAGGTGAAGGTATAAGTAGCAACACATCACATCACACACTTGCACTATAGACCTTAATACCTAAACTTGAGGCCACCCCAAAAACGCTTGAGTCAACCAGTAAAGCATGCATGTGAATGATCTATAGTAAACTTATACAATATGATCTTATGTTAGCAAAAATAAAAAAAATTTCATCACACGTAAAAGTAACTAAAGTTTAAAAATCAATACTCTAGTGCTTTGCCTTGTAGGCTTTCCCCTTGTCCTTCGCTTTGTCATCTCTTGGAAAGACATAAAGTAATAGGAGTGAGATTAAACAATCTCATTAACCAAGAATTTAATGAAAGCATATTAAAGTGTGGTTTGCATCACAAGACAATTTAGTAATATATAAGTCATTCAAAGCATCACATAGTTCACAATCTTTCTTGTATACAAGTATATCAATGCTTTTTAATTAATGCGACCACCTTATGTCCTTTCTTTTATCATCTAATTGAACCATGAGCCAATAATAAGACAATTTAGTAATATATAAATCATTTAAAGAACCATATAATTCACAATCTTGCTTATATACAAGTATATCAATGCTTTATGATTAATGCAACCACCTTATATTCCTCCTTTTATCATTTAACTGAACCATAGGCTAATAACTTGTATAGAATTGACCTATATGACTTGACTAGGTCTACTTTTTAATTATGAGGGGTTTCCCAATCAAAAGCCTTCGTACTTAGTCTTGGACCATAAGTTTCCCTTACTTGAATTGCTTGACCCATACCATCCAATCCAGGATCAGTGATATTGAACATTATGCTCAACCTATGCCATAATGCTATAGAAGTCCCAAAATGCTCCAAAATCACCCTCTAGTTTGAAACCCTACTAGAGCCACTATTTACCCATTGAACAAAACCCTTAAACCTTTATTTTCTTTGATTTTTAAATAGCTAATTGAATTTAAAATTTTGGTGTGCTTACTATGAAGAATAGCCCAAAACCAATAGCATCACTTAATCTAAAAAATATGGGCCTAATCTGGACCCCTCCAAAGGCCCAATAAGCCTAATTAGCCCTCCAACCCTAACCTTTAATTAGCCTAATTAATTAATTAAGCCCTCTAAATTAATTAATTAAATAAATAAATTTTGGGATGTTACAATTCCTATCAACTAGGAGAGCAGTGAATAAGGGACACTTGATACTCATAAATTTAATAAGATGTCTTCTAAGGAGATTTGATATCTCTTGCCAATTTGTCTTCTATAGACCCTTCTCTAAATGCACTTCTTAAAACCTCTAGAAAGTAGGCTTATCCTTAAAGAAAAGTTGCCATTAATGCACCCGAAAGAAAATCATATGCATGAAATAGGTCCCCTTACCCAAGCCTGAAAAAGAATTCCCCCAAGCCTAATCATCGCGAACACTTAGTAATGGAAGGCAAATTATCTTCTGTGAGCATAACATGATTCATTCATAGCCCAAAATCACACCAAAACCCTCTTACTTTAGTCTTGGGCCTGTCGTATATGACAAACCTAATAAGGAATTAACTCGGAGGGCTGGGCTTGTGAGTTTGGCTAAGGATCCTACTAAAGGTCACCCTCCCGCTTACCTAATGTAAATCATAACTGTGCTCTCAATCTTTGTAGAATAAGTGACATTAATGGATCACAATAGTTCAAAGCCTTTTGCTTTAGATAATCCTTCCACACATGATTCTGAAAACTAGTAAGTTTCCCTTATTTGTTTAGCAATATTGTTTTATGATTATAGCAAGGTGGAATTGTAGGGGTGTAGGGGATAGGTGTAATGTCTACCTTAACATTACCACAAATTATTACCATCAATCACCACATAATGGTAATTAGGAGTTATTAAGTCCTCTTACACTTATCGTAATCACATAAGGATTAAATCAATTAAATATTTGAAATACAATTGAAAACATATGGAATCCTAAAAATCCTTCAAATATGTAGTCTGAGCTCAAAATTATTGATATTTAAAAGTTTAGGAATTATGAAATGCAAATGGGAACAAATTATAGGAAAAATATGGCTAAAAATGTCTTTTTGGCACATTCTGGCACATATTCCATGATAGGGATCCATATGTCACGGCATATGGCACAAAGTAGGTAATTTAGCCCCTGTGCCATATGCTATGGCTTACGAAAACATGATGCGACGCACATGCCATTTAATCACAGCATTTTGTTGTCATGATGATTTTTCAGGATAAATTTTAAGCTTGCGCTATTTTTACATTCAATATCCGATTGGAGTGAGTTAAGCATTCATGTATAGCTTATTCAATAATATAACTAATGGCAGAAGTTTTATTATGATATTGTATGAGAATTTTGGACATCTAAATGCTAAAAGTCAAATTCTAAAGTAAATTTAGTGCTTCTAAGTGCTCAAATCTGGCACCTTATACCATTAAGTTAACTTAAGGCTTGAACTAAATGATATTGCATAACAGGGCCAGTCTCAACATACTTACATATAATCTCCATTTGGCCAAATCATCACCACACATCCCATCTAATCACCATAACATACACTTGTATTTATATTTTAGCCTATTTCTAAAATATTTTTTGTGAAATTTCTAAGTAGACAAGTAAGGTTACCCTTAACTTGAAGTTTGAAATAATCATGAGGTTAATCAAAAAATTACCAAGTTGTGAAATTTTCAACAATAGGGATCCCAAGTTTTCACAATTTAAAACACTCCAATATACTCCAATCATTCTCAAATCAAAGTTAAAAACATATATGAAAGCATAAGATCTTAAACAAGTCAATTCATTTGCAAAATAATAGCATACAGTAAAACTGTGTGGCGAAAATAGAGGTGTGATGCAGCTCATAAAAGACGTGTCGTGGCTTGTTGCCTCTATGCCATACACCATGGTGTATTGCACGAATTTAATAGCATCTTTGCTATCATAAGATAGCTCTGGGGGTGAACTTTTGATGAGCCTCATTTCTTTGTCCGACATTCGATTGAGATGATCTAGGTATCTATATTAAGCTTTCTTATTTTACAACCAAATCATTTTTCAATAAAAAATTAGACATTCATTTCAAAACCCACTCCTTTTTCACAATAAACACAACTTGGGTGCTCAAATCATAACTCAAATGCCAAAAGCTTACATCAACCTTAGGCCACACTCAATAGACTATTATGGACTTGTGCAATGTAAAGTCCGTTATTTAATCTGAACTTTGCCATCACATTCACACACAACATAATACAATATCAGAGTAATAGTCCTTAATTTGTTTGTAAAATGTGGGATCCTGACTTCATCAAAAGCATGTTCAAATAAGAAGGCTAACGAAAGCGTAAACATAAATCTCACGACTCAGGAAGACACAACTATTTTCTAGGAAATGTGCCATGTGCCACGGCATGTACTACTAAGTATCGCGTTATGTGGTATAAAGCAACATGCCTTATTTCTCTTTGTGTCATGCGCTGTAGCGTGGCACATAATGCGTCACGGCGTATATGACAATGAATGCTACTGTCATATGATAATTTATAAGGTGAACGTCTGTTGCATTCTAATTCCACATCTAACATCCGATAGGGTGATTCAAGTGTTCATACGAATCTTATAACATATTTTTTTCTGATAAGATAAGTTTGGACTCGATCCAAAGGCTCAATCTAAAATTGAACACTTGAGTATAAAAAGTTATTTTTTCTTTCAAAATTTACACCTTAAGTGTTCAATTATCATTCCTTACCTATTAGACCACTTTAGGCCTTGAACCAAGTTTGAAAAGACTACATACACCTGTTTAACACATCAAATCACATATATAACATTAATTACTCATTTTGACTTCTCAATGCCATATTACACATTTGTAGACTTATATAAGGCACGATACATATAACTATATACACTTATATACTTGTTCTACTTCAGTCATCCAACTTCCTCATATGGGGCAAAGCCTTACCATATGGTTAGAAATCACAAATATACTCGACTCTTGTAAATGGGGCTAAGTCTCACCATTTAGTCAAGTTCACACATATACACATAGTTCCACATAATAAAATCACATCCAATAAAAGTGGAACAAGTTATACAATAACATACACTTGCTTGATTGGCATCTAGACCTACCCACGTACTCACTACTGTGGTATTACCAGTGAGATGTAACATCATATATACAAGCAAGTTTTCAACCATAAATCATATGCACATTCAC